CGCGCCCTCCGTGTCGCCGAAACCCCGCTCCTCACCCCCCCGCTCACGGCAACACGGTGATGGTGCGAAGGCCCAGAGCTCTCAACAGGGGTGGGGGAACCCGGGGTCTGGGTGTAGCATGCTTAAATATATATATACAGATATGTGTACATACACACACATATATATACACGCATATATATATGTGTGTGTGTGTATAAAATAAAAATATAAAAATATAATTTGTGAGATAACCTTGATTCTAAAGTCAGGTGTTTACACCTTTTTTCAACACCTCGGCTAGCAGTATCCTGGTTCCTTTTAAAAACGTGGCTTAAATGAATCCTTTAAAAAGTAGCCAATGCAGATATGTTGAAGAATAGGAATGTGCAATTTCTCAGTAATTTGTGGTTCATTCTCTTTCTTGCACCGAGAGCATTAGCTACAGCCTTAGCCTGCACTAAGGCCTCCCTTGCTATTCCCATTACCAACCTTTCTTTTGAGCAATGTATTTTTGATACTTCTACTTATTGGATTTAAATTCTCAAGACACGGTCTCTGCTTGGAAATTGATTTGTTTTTCTTTTTGGTTTGAATCATCAGGTCAGCCATTTGCGAGCCCAGAGAGAATGGAAAACAAAATTCTTTCGTCATTCAAAAGAAAAACAACTCTCGTGACCTGTTTTGGAAATGCCAGAGCATCGACATGGCTCTGGTGAGAGCACTGAAGTCTGCGATTGGAATAACCTGAGTTTTGGAGCATTCCTGGGAAAGCTGGATTTTAAGCTGGCCAAGCACGGCCCTTTCTTGCAGACACGAGGGGTTTCTGGAGCAGCGTGCTGTTTTTCCACCATGGCATGCTGTTCCCAGTCAGGGAGTCCATGCTCATTACACGGGGAGCTTGCCGAGCTGCGTACTGCAGTGAATTGAAAGGCTGCAGCAGAGAAATAATTTATGGCTAACAGAGACCATGGACATTATTCAGATGAATATACTCTTAGGCAGAAGGCCAAGATAAGCCCTCACGGCACACATAAGGCTTTATCTACTGTTTAAATGCAGCCCCTGCCGTACTTCAGGCATTGAATGCACGACACGTCGCCGGCTGCTGCCCTGTGCTCTGGCAGCAGCCTCCCGTCTGACTCCGCTGCAGCGGGAGGGACGCCGCAGTGGCACGAGACACCAGCGATCATGCCCCCGCGTTGCTTCTCCCAGCAAGAAGCAGGAGGCCCTGCGCCCCGGGTACAGCCCTGCCAGACCCCCGCTTCCCTGGGGGAAGCAGGCTCTGTGCAGTTCCCATTCCACGCGTGCAGATTGCCTCGCCGGTCTGCAGAACTGTAGGGCGGCAAGAGCAACCCCCGAGGCGCTCCCAATGGCTGGAAGGGGCGCAAGCCAGGGGGGCTGTGGGGCAAGCGAGGTGGCTGGTGGTCTGTGATCAGCACCGAGCGAGGCGCCCAGGCCATAAGCCTCCAGGACTCACACACTTGTTGCTGCCCGTGCTGCACCGGCAGCACCATCAGTCCTCACTCTGCGGCGGGCTGCGGGGCGCCGTCGCCCTACGCCAAGGGCCTGATGCCCTCCCTACGCTGCCCTCCAGCCCCACGCGATGGGCAGAAGGAGGAAGGAGCTTGCAGAAAGGAGTTGGTTTTGAAAGGCTGAAGTCTTCTCTGGCAGAAGGCATGAGGCAGTCTGTGGACAGCAGAAGCCCAGGGCAGAGCTCAAGGAAAAGGGGGAAAAAGGTGCAACTTGGGAACCTTAAAAGTAATGAGGACACTGTCAGAGAGGCCTCTGTTTTGCGGTGCTCTAACTCAATAAATACTTTTGCCTCGTTTCCTGAGGAAAAATATTCATGCCATTTTGGGGGCAAGGGGCACATATCCATCACTCGCCTTTGAATTCAATTGAATTCAGACAGAGAGAGGCAGAGATGTCAAGGGAAGAAAGCAGTGAAACAGAGAGACCGTGCCTACGCCCTCCCTGGGAGCAGGCTGCAGCTTGAGCCCAAACCCATTTGGGCTTCAGAGTACCCACACCAGCGCTGCTCCCCGAGACCTGGCTTCTTCGGCCCTGTCACGCAGGCAGTGCCTTGCTTTGTCTTTGCTGACTGAAGCGAACAACCGACGTTCCCACTCACCCCTCACCAACACTGGTTCTCTGCCACCCACGTTCTTATGCTTCCCCTGCAGCATTTCTCTTTCTCCTTCTCTAGGGCTCCTACAGCCTCCCTCACCTTTCTCCCTTGATCCATCTCCCTTTACACACACAGACTGAATTCCCCGCGTTCTCCCTGTGGAGTGTCACCTAATCCCTCCACACGCCTGTCAGCCCCAGCACCTTTCGGGACAGGAGCTGCCTTTGGAAGGTGTTTGTACCACATCCAGCCCCATGCTCCCATCAGGGTGGGACAGGGCTCACAGCTGGCACATGGGAGGTGCAGTGAACACACCTGGAAGAATCCAATGACCGCCACCTCCACACCACTGATGAAGGCTTCGGCATCCGTGATGTTGTTCAACAGGATAGGTTTCTCTGCAGTGCTAGCTGTGCCTGGAGAGGAGAGGTCGGGGTTGGACAGAGGGTAAACAGAGAAGAGGCTCCCCCCAACACTCATGGGAGCATCAGCAGAACACTTGCACGGCACACCCTGGGTAAGGAGGACTCCCTACGGCAGACCCAGCCCTTGCCCCAGCCAGGAGGAAAGCTCACTTACTGCGGGATGCAGAGCCGCTGTCTCCAGCACACGCTGCTGGGGAGCCCCCGGCAAGCAGGAGAACGAAGAGGCATGGGAAGACTGAGGTGCCCATGGTGCCACCCTGCTCCAGTCCTCTCCTCGGCAAAAGACACGTCAGCCACTGCGGGGGGCTGAAGTCTCTCCCGGGGTGGTGGGAAGGGAGCAGCTGGCCCAGGGCGAAGCCTTCAGCTCCTGAGATAAGCACCTGGCAGGGAGAGCTCCACCTGCTATGCGGGCACCAGGCTTGGAGAGCCTCACCGACACTGCTGCCAGTGTATCCTCACCCACAGCACTGGACATCTTGGCTACCCTGCACCTGTGTGACCAGCTGGGTAAGGACATCCCTCCATGCAGAAGGAGCCACTGCATTTGTCCAAGTGCTGTGTCTCAGAGGCTGATCCCTTGTGCTTGGCCAGCAGGTCAGCCCCGGACAGGCAGCTCTTGCGCTGGCTCTGGGGAACAGCTACCACGGTAAGCATTAAACATGAGAAGGCCATGTTACAGCTCCCTGGGCTCATTCAGTTGCCACGCGAGATGAGAGGTGGGGGCTGTCTACCCCCATCATGGGTCAGAGTTTAGCTTCGACAAAGGATTCATGAAACCCCTGAAGGAAGT